TGTGCTAAGAGACGTCCTACTATCATAAGTCCCAAACAAGATCCAAACTCAAGACTTTCCGGCTTCAAGTCCAGCGCTCTAGCCCTCGACCACGAACATTACAACATTCCTAAAACACGACGTCACTACCCTTACAATAGTAGAAGTTTTAACACAGGCTTCCACCTATATACACCACTGGCCTCGTCTTTGGCTGTGGGAGGATTGTCTTTTGGTTAACTAAGTTACTGTTTATTAGCCTTTCCAGTTATTCGGAAATGGCACATTTGGTGCATTTTACTCTATAGGATCCTTAGACTATGACAAATATAATGTTGTAAAAAAATGTAAATGTAAAGAAGTGGAAAACTCAAGTGATCATCTAGTTCTTCTCACAACTACAACTAAACGTGTTCCATTACAACTATGCTCCTAAAAATACATTACTTTTTATCCAAACTAATAGTCTGCACTGTTCTTTCTCGTAAATTGGTTTTACGTTGGTCGTCCTAATAATGTTTAAGATTCTTTGTACGAGTTGATAAAAACTCCACAAGATTTACTTGTTAATACAATTTTTCCACGTTAAATTTACAGTGTAAAAAATAGTACAGATATGTAATAAGAAACTCTCAAAAAAACATCTTCTTTGCTTGCCTGAACATCTCATGTAATGTGTCCCTGTATTTGCTGCTCATCTTGTAGTAGACCAAAGCGTTAACACTGGCAGTGATGGTCTCCGTGTAGATAGAGACGGCGTACACCAGCTCCATGATGTAGAAACGGTTCCCGCCTGTGTCTAGCGACCTGTCAATGCTTGCAGCAGCCAGTAACGCAGATTTAGGCAAAAGACTGCAGATAAATATCACAGATACAGTCATCAACATCTGTACCAGTTTGGTTTCTTTACTGCTCAAGTGCGCTAACCGTTTATCGCTAAATTGCGAAACAGTTTTGCGCCAGTTGAATTTTTGGCGGAGGGATACGGCGAGTATGAGATTACAAAGAAAGAGGGTTACAAAAGATATGAACGGTGTGGCTAGGTCAGTTACCCAAAAAGCGACACTAACAACAGATTGTCTGAAATCGCGATATGCTATTCGTAGAACCGTTCTGTTCAACTTAGCTGAGTATCCCACATCTAAGTAACTCACGTAGTATAGAGGAAACACCGTCATCGTCATGGTAAGAAAGATGGCGATGTTTATTATCGTGGCAACCTTTGTTGTGATGATGTTTTTTACTCTCATCGGTGCGATGACGCTCAGACATTTTTCGAATGACGCGAAGGCCGTGACGTAACCACATACCCGGATGAAATATTTCCCCGGGTAGGTAGAGAACATAGCGATGACGTCAGATTTGTCATAGGTGGTGTCCGTTTTGTCGTACCACGGGTTCCAGAGGATGTTGTAGACGCGTTGCGTCAGCAGGGTGCCGATGTCGCAGACGGACAGCGCCGTCAGGGTGATGTTCATGGCCTGGTTGTAGCCGTGTCGGGAGAAGATGATGATGTTGATGATGTTTCCCAGGATTCCCAGCACGCCGAGGGTTGGACCGATGACGGTGTACATGACGTACAACATTGATGACGTAGCTCTGGTCAGTGCTATGGTCGTGTCGGTGGCTACCAGAGTAGCGTTAGATGTCGCCATTTTGTTGTTTTACTAGATCTTTTTGTATTTTTTTTTTAATTTTCACATCAGCAGCTAACAAATACACCCGCTAATGTACTGGGTAGCCATCTCTTTTATTAATTTTTTAAAAATTTCTTTTTAAAATTGCATTAATATGAAATACCTGTAATTCAAACAGCAATTAACTCAGTTTGGCTATAAAAAGATAAATATTTATTTTTAAATAGTTAAAAACTGAATACAAAATACGATAAAATTTCAAATGTGTAAAATATTTACTACTATTTCTTTCATACGTTGAACAGTTCTAAACTAAGCTTAGAACAGTGAAGTTAAACTATTTTTATAGTTGCAAACTCATTCTTTTATTATTATTTTTAAAACCACATTAGCACATTCCAATAAAGAAAATTTTACATCGAGGAATATGATACACCGTCTCAGTGCTTGAGTTTAAATAAATTAAATACCGAAACAACTTAGACTCATACTATATTTTATTTTCTAATATAATCGTGCTAACAACTAATGGTTATCTTTACTAACTTAATTTCGTTTCTATTGAAGAATATGACTTCTAGTTTTTACTGCAGTCTAGAGAGAGTGTAGTCAGTTAGTAATTATTGAACATAAATCTTGTAATTAGACAACATAGTTACCGTCTTTTTGAGGTAATAATTTTCTTCAATTTTTAAAGTGGTGTCATTTTACATCAGTCTATAGGGATTGTAGTCAGGTAGTAATTATTTTACAGAAATCTTGTGATTAGACAATATAGTTGTCGTCTTTTAGAGGTAATTATTTTCTTCAGTCTTTAAAGTCGTTTCATTTTTATAATCAAGACTTTAATAACCCATTCAAACCAACTCAATCTTGTAACTGATAATTTCTTTTCTGATTTCATACTATTTAATGTGTGGTAGAAATTAGCTGGTATTGATCAAGTTTTTTTTTAAAATAGATTTTCTTAAAATTGTGTTTGCTTCTGTTACAAGTCAACTATGTCTATAAATTGTTTTTTTCTGAGATTCCTTTAGTATGTTCGTTGTGAGGATAAGACAGCACGGGACTGGGACTAAATAGTGTTTTCAGATCTCAATCAGAACTGTCCGGAGTTAGAACAATACAATATTATTGTAAATACCATCTATATAGCACTCCCAAATACACGACAATCTAAAAGGACCGTTGTAAATACCATATGTATAGAACTACTTGAATACACGGCAATCTAAAAGGACCATTGTATATACCACTCATATGGATGTGGAAAACAAAAGGAGTCAGTGATATCTCTAAAAGTTATCTCAAGAATTCAGAAGCAATGGAGTGGTGGGAAAAACGACAATTATGTAGTATCGGAAAATTGGAAACTATGTAGTGTCGATATATGGTCAGCTATGTAGTGTAGGAAAATGGGATGCTATATAGTGTCGGCAATATGGCAACTATCTAGTGTGGGAAAAACGTCAACTATATAGAGTCGGTAGAGCGTCAACGATGTAGTGTCGGCAAAATGACAATTGTATAATGTTGGACAAACGGCAACAATGTAGCGTCGGCAAAACGGCAATACAAGAATTTATTTTATTTTATTGTATTTGTGAATGGTAGACCATTGAGAAGTTTTTATTATTGCCATGTCGGTTTTCTCTGAGGTGGTATTCTATTAAATATGTTCTAAAGAACTCGACCAATCATTGTATCTGTTATATAGCTATATGATATAGCTTTCTTTGTCCTGTATTCTATTGTATAAAGCCTTTTAAAACAGTGTCTACCTCAAGCGTGTAAAGTCAGCTCTTTTTATTATTCGTATAACTATTTCAACACTCACTTTTAAAGGGGTAGGTTCCGGAAAAAAACGGGAAAAAAACTATTTAATTAATAAGTCTTTCATATTTAATTTTGTATGTATAAGTTAGGGTACCTAAGGGAAAATATGTGCATGCATTAGGGACTATCCTGAAAATACGATTGCCATGGCAATGGCGGCCATCTTGAAAAAAACTACCTTTTGTTGAGTTATAAAATTTCATAAAGTAACACATATATCGTTGATCCTTCTTGTACTAACGCTAATAGAGTCGTTTAATTACCCTAACTTAGATATAAACAAATAAATCAATAAAATGTTTTAATTGAGAAGTTGTTTTTTTTTTCTGGAGCCTACCCCATTTATGTGACTACATCTTTCGTTGGTTTATTTTATTTAGTGTTTTTATTTGTATATACCTTTTTGGTTTTATTTTAAATATTTTATTTATATGGTAGTTTTATTTTAAGTCATTCTGTTCTCATTAACTATGTCGTTCTATTTGATTATTAATATTTTATTTATTTGTAAGTTTTATTTTAAGTATTTTTTTTAAAAATCATTTACTGTGTCCCTCTGTTGATCTTATTCAGAGACAGATATTGTGGACACTTTTCAAAAGTACATTGTATCTTTTTCTATCAATAATTGTTTGAAGGGTAAATTATTCCTTTTTAACTTGAATTTCTAGTTTCGAGATTTACTCGTATCTCTACAAACTGTTTGCATAATGTTCCCATGTATGTGTCATATAATTATGGCTCCATAGTCTAATAGACCACTGGGTAACTGCTCATTGAACATCCAAGCACAAAGCCTGGACATTAAGATGAGAAGAGCCCGTGTTTTAGACCCCCCTCTCCCAGATGTCGCCCGTGTTTTAGACCCCCCTCTCCCAGATGTCGCCCATGTTTTAGACCCCCCTCTCCCAGATGTTGCCCGTGTTTTAGACCCCCCTCTCCCAGATGTTGCCCGTGTTTTAGACCCCCCTCTCCCAGATGTTGCCCGTGTTTTAGACCCCCCTCTCCCAGATGTTGCCCGTGTTTTAGACCCCCCTCTCCCAGATGTCGCCCATGTTTTAGACCCCCCTCTCCCAGATGTTGCCCGTGTTTTAGACCCCCTCTCCCAGATGTTGCCCGTGTTTTAGACCCCCTCTCCCAGATGTTGCCCGTGTTTTAGACCCCCCTCTCCCAGATGTCGCCCATGTTTTAGACCCCCCTCTCCCAGATGTTGCCCGTGTTTTAGACCCCCCTCTCCCAGATGTTGCCCGTGTTTTAGACCACCTCTCCCAGATGTCGCCCATGTTTTAGACCCCTGTCTCCCAAATGTCGCCCATGTTTTAGACCCCTGTCTCCCAGATGTCGCCCATGTTTTAGACCCCTGTCTCCCAGATGTCGCCCATGTTTTAGACCACCTCTCCCAGATGTCGCCCATGTTTTAGACCACCTCTCCCAGATGTCGCCCATGTTTTAGACACCTGTCTCCCAGATGTCACCCATGTTTTAGACCCCTGCCTCCCAGATGTCGCCCATGTTTTAGACACCTTTCTCCCAGATGTCGCCCATGTTTTAGACCACCTCTCCCAGATGTCGCCCATGTTTTAGACCCCTGTCTCCCAGATGTCGCCCATGTTTTAGACCCCTGTCTCCCAGATGTCGCCCATGTTTTAGACCCCTGTCTCCCAGATGTCGCCCATCTTTTAGACCCCTGTCTCCCAGATGTCGCCCATGTTTTAGACCCCTGTCTCCCAGATAACGCCCATGTTTTAGACCCCTGTCTCCCAGATGTCGCCCATGTTTTAGACCCCTGTCTCCCAGATGTCGCCCATGTTTTAGACCCGTGTCTCCCAGATGTCGCCCATGTTTTAGACCCCTGTCTCCCAGATGTCGCCCATGTTTTAGACCCCTGTCTTCCAGATGTCGCCCATGTTTTAGACCCCTGTCTCCCAGATGTCGCCCATGTTTTAGACCCCTGTCTCCCAGATGTCGCCCATGTTTTAGACCCCTGTCTCCCAGATGTCGCCCATGTTTTAGACCCCTGTCTTCCAGATGTCGCCCATGTTTTAGACCCCTGTCTCCCAGATGTCGCCCATGTTTTAGACCCCTGTCTCCCAGATGTCGCCCATGTTTTAGACCCCCCCCCTCTCCCAGATGTCGCCCATGTTTTAGACCACCTCTCCCTCTCCCAGATGTTGCCCATGTTTTAGACACCTGTCTCCCAGATGTCGCCCATGTTTTAGACACCTGTCTCCCAGATGTCGCCCATGTTTTAGACCCCTGTCTCCCAGATGTCGCCCATGTTTTAGACCCCTGTCTCCCAGATGTCGCCCATGTTTTAGACCCCCCCCCTCTCCCAGATGTCGCCCATGTTTTAGACCCCCCCCCCTCTCCCAGATGTCGCCCATGTTTTAGACACCTGTCTCCCAGATGTCGCCCATGTTTTAGACCCCCCCCCCTCTCCCAGATGTCGCCCATGTTTTAGACCCCTGTCTCCCAGATGTCGCCCATGTTTTAGACACCTGTCTCCCAGATGTCGCCCATGTTTTAGACCCCCCCCCCCCCTCTCCCAGATGTTGCCCATGTTTTAGACCCCTGTCTCCCAGATGTCGCCCATGTTTTAGACCCCTGTCTCCCAGATGTCGCCCATGTTTTAGACCCCCCCCCCCTCTCCCAGATGTCGCCCATGTTTTAGACCCCCCCCCCTCTCCCAGATGTCGCCCATGTTTTAGACACCTGTCTCCCAGATGTCGCCCATGTTTTAGACCCCCCCCCCCTCTCCCAGATGTCGCCCATGTTTTAGACCCCTGTCTCCCAGATGTCGCCCATGTTTTAGACACCTGTCTCCCAGATGTCGCCTACGTTTTAGACCCCCCCCCCCCCTCTCCCAGATGTCGCCCATGTTTTAGACCACCTCTCCCTCACAGCTGATGTGCCCAAGGGACATGACGTTACCCTATAACTTTGAATCAGACAAAAACAGAGTTTCGTGATCGTCACACTAGATGGCCGAGTCATTATATTTTTTATTTTTTAACTGATGAAATAAATTATAAAATTATCTTTCTAATTAAGATGATAGAAAAAAAGCACATTAACTGCTAAAATATTACAAAACAGATCGTGTCTTAAAACTAAAATTTTCAACTTTAAGTAATCGTTTAAGGTAATCAAATCGGAAATGACTATAGTTTCGTTTTTTTTTTTCAATGAAATTAGTTCAATTAAGCAGATTTGTTTTTAAACACGACGAATGCGTGATAAACTGATAACTTTTTAAAGGGCACATGATACTTATGTTTTTTACTTCTTTTATTTAGCAACGTCTATCAGAATAACACTATAGAAAAGATAACGTTACATGATCTATAAGAGATTTTTTAAAAATCACCTTTACCATTGCAGAATTACATGGCTGAAAGCATTTAAACAAACCAAAACCACAGCTGATAAATCACAGTTTTCTAATTTTGAGAAAAATGAGATTTTGTTTTTGAGATCCTTTGGTGTTCCATAAAGGCATGATTTTGTAATCGGTAATATGAATGGTAACAAGGTGGTTTTACGCTTTCATATTGTGATAGATATAAACTAGTACTAAATGAATAAAGCACTCAATGAATAATTTTAAAATGTGGACATTTGTGGTTTATTTTTTGTGGTCTTCAATCTTTAGAGGACATTCGATAGATAATTTATTGTCGCTACGGCTATCGCCTATAATGCTGTTTTTCTTCTTTTAAGAACAAACGCGATCCAGATCTACCATTAATATGCGTAGTAAATAATAACCAAGTCAAGTGTAAAAGAAATATAAGCAATAATATAATAACAAACACAACTTTAACTCAATCTTAGATGGTTATAAAGTATCTTTTTCATCCATTCTAGTAGTTTTACACAAAAGACTGATGTATTTTATAATTTAATTGCTACTTTACAGTTTCTGTCACATTTTTAATAACATAATAATCTCAAAAAAATCAAAAGAGGTTTAAAAAATGAAATTACGTACACAAGAGACAAACAAGCATCACAAATTGAGAAGAGTTTTCTCATAATGTCTGCTTTTTTTCATAGAAAACGATCAAATGAGTTTCTACAACATGATTTCAATTTCTAGTTGTTTTTTTTTTTAAATTCTGTGAAATATTAATACATGTATTAAAGTAAAACACTTGTTGCTTTATTTAAAATTAAATTTTAGTTATGTTGCTCTTTTTTGTTTTTTTTAGTTCTGAAACACATTTTGAAATCAACGATATATAGGCTGCTATACTTTGCACAGTTTTACGTCAATGTTTTTTTTTTTAAATTAGCTTTACATAATAATATTTTCTTTCTTTATGAGTTGTCATAGCTACTAAAATATAAAAATATTGTTCAAGCTTTATACCAAAAAAACTCCTTGAAATACAGAGAAATTAAAAAAAAAAAATAGCGGGACCGTTAAGAGTCGAATTATGGTGTTCAATAAAACAGTCCCACGATGAAGTTTAGATTCAAACAATCAATTTGACCACGGCGATACAATTCAATTTTTAAGTTGCCAGGATAAATTGGTTTTCTTTTTAATTATTGAAAACGATGCACTATTTTGTTGAAGTTCGAATAGTAATTTCGCTCTTTAATACCTTGTTTTTTCAATATCAAAATACAACCAACGTCGCATAGTAAGTACTTACAATTTTACTCGTTTAAGGAAAATATTTCAACTAAAATTTTAAATATAGCTGGTTAAACAGTAAACACATAATTGAAACGTGTGTCGGATAATTGTAGTTAAACACATTGTAGTTATCTATTGTAACTTTTGTACTCCTAATATTTTAGTCTCTCATTTGTTTTGGTCGATGGCATCATAATTATCAACATGAGTCACACGTAGTATTGATTCAATTGTTTGGTATGGTTATGTATCATGTTGGGAACTTGAAGAAAACAGATAACGTGATCCAGTGTATGTTCTTTCTATTTAAGATGGAACATTTTTTTCTGTATTTTTCCCATTACAAGTTCTTAAGCTAAGAAAAATGTATGAACTAAAGTATTTAATATAGAACTGCTTGTTCGTAATAACATAACCGCATGTATATTTGTATGTGTTTACTGCAACCAGTATGCAGAGTGGCCTAGCGGTAGAGAGTTAGCCTGCTAACCAATAAGTTTCGAGTTCGAATCCGGTTTCAAGTCAGTAGACCGTCCCTGAGTCCACCCAACTCTGATGGGTAGTCCTACATAACTCTTTTTAGGGAAAGTAAAGGCGGCTGGGGCATAGTGCTGACCACACTATCTCTTCATATGCCGAGGGTGATACAGTTTAACTCCACTACGCCTGCCCCATAGACCGTCAGGTGTGGAAGGGGAACTTGACTTACAACCTTTATAACAATTTTTGTGATTATTTTATTTTGAAACTAATTTTTTCTAATGTTATGGTAACATTAATACCTCAACATGGCTGCTTCTGTGTAAGGTATTTTTTAAAGTTTAGCGTATCTGAGTAGCGTAAAAGCCTATGGTCTTTAGATTAGTGTGTTTTGTGTTTTGAGGTAAGTCGTGCGCCAGATTTGGCCATGGCGTCAACCAACATGACAGGGGTGTCTGGCGACCCGACGGTCCAGTTCGTACAGACGACAACACAATCTCTCTACTACATCTACACCGTCATCGGTCCAACCCTGGGCGTGTTGGGAATCCTGGGAAACATCATCAACATCATCATCTTCTCCCGACACGGCTACAACCAGGCCATGAACATCACCCTGACGGCGCTGTCCGTCTGCGACATCGGCACCCTGCTGACGCAACGCGTGTCTAACTTCCTCTGGAACCCGTGGTACGAGTACCCAAACATCAACTACGTCACCGCTGACGTCATCGCCCTGTTTTCGGTCTACCCCCGGAACTATTTCATCCTGGTCTGCGACGGCTTTCGCGTCATTCGAGAAATGTCTGAGCGTCATCGCACCACTTCAGGTAAAAAACATCATCACAACAAAGACTGCAGTGATAACAAATGTAATCATTTTCCTCACCCTGACAATGACGGTGTTCCCGTCGTACTACGTGTACTACCTAGAGTGGAAGTTCCTGCCCAAACTAAACCGAACGGTCTTACAAGTGAGTTACCGGGACTTCAGAAAGACCGTTCTCAGCGTGTCCTACATCATCACCGACCTCACCGTACCCATCATCTCTCTCGTCTCCATCATCGCCTGTAACCTCATCATCGCCGTGTCGTTAAAACAAAAATCCGACTGGCGGAAATCTGTAACGACGGCCTTCACAAAGACGGAATCCCATTTATCCAAAAAAAATTCATAAAAAACGTTTTAATAACAAGCTTTTATGTAATGATGCACTAAAAAGTAGAAAATAAATTATACACTACTATTTAAATTACTATAAAGAAAATTGTGGGTCACTTTAGTACTTTAGTACCTATTGGATACCTTTACTAATATTTGAGAAGAGACCCACGCTTTTCTTTATAGTAATTTAAATAGTAATGTATAATTTATTTTCTACTTTTTAGTGCATCATTACATAAAAGCTTGTTATTAAAACGTTTTTTATGAATTTTTTTTCAGTACTTTACATGTTTTATTTGCAATAGTGTTACAAGACTAAAAACCATTGCGCGTCTATTGAACGTGATAGCGCAGCTATTAAACCTGATTGAACGTGATGACGTATGTGGTGTGGTTGGATAGACATGCCTACTAATTCGGTCCAAATTTTAATTAATTCATAAAAAATTAATTAGGCATCCAATTAAGTCAAATTTAGATTCAGATTGCATTGTCTTCATGTCTTGACCCACGTGCCAACTGTGAATCGTATCGGTCAAGTAGAACTGTCTGAATTTTCACTCCTGCGTTTCCATCTAGACTGACGACAGAGGAAGTGAGTTAAATAAAAGCTTGTAAAAAGAGATGAAGATTGTCTTCATGCTTATGACAGTTTCGTTGATCTTTCTGGTCTGTCTGTTGCCCAAGTCAGCTCTAATGACAGCCCAAGTCAGCTCTAATGACAGCCCAAGTCAGCTCTAATGACAGCCCAAGTCAGCTCTAATGACAGCCCAAGTCAGCTCTAATGACAGCCCAAGTCAGCTCTAATGACAGCCCAAGTCAGCTCTAATGACAGCCCAAGTCAGCTCTAATGACCGCGTCAAGTATAGACAGGAGTTACAGGCTGGGTTGGGAACGGTTCCACATCACTGAGCTCATCTACGGGGTGTCCCTGTACACGGAGACGCTCACGTCAAGCGTGAATGTGCTGGTCTACTACAAGATGAGCGGCAAGTACAGGGACACGCTCCATGACTTCATCAGACAATCACAACTCTCGTTTAAGTGTTCAATTAAAAACTAATCATCTCTCAAATACGTGTCTCAACACCCTAAATTTGTCTATAAAAATGTCCTATATCCCGTTCTCTATCAGAAGACTTATCGTCTTTATTGCTGGTGCCT